AGCTCTCTTCCGGTGTGTTTCTTTCCAGTCAAATTTGATCTTGAAAAAGTTAAATGCAACATCAATCGTTATCCTTGGTCTTCTTAATTTCCATTCTTTTACTGATATCACTAGTTAATAATGTTTTTCATTATCTCAGGTTCTCTCACCCTCAACAACCCCTTACATTTTAGTGGCTTTATTGTCTTGCTGGGGCGGGGGTGAAATAATTAAAAAAAAAACAAAAGTAAGCAATAAAGTGTTTGAACATTCATTTTATTAACTCGTAGATCATTTTAGATTTGAAGAAAAAAAACGGATTATGTTGAAAATGTTTTAATTTCACTTGTTAATATATATATATACATATTTTAATTTCAATTGTTAATATAAATCGTCATCCACAGACAGACCATTTCGCAGCTCATCACTGTAGCTAGACATCCGATCGCTTCAAGCCGACCGATTTGGCATCAGTCGGAGATACTAACCACTAAGCTATTGGCGACCGGCAGAGATGTAGGCGAATTTTTGCGTATTTATTTTTACATAAACACGCCATTGACCTAGAGAACTCAATCCATCTGGAGATTCTTGCATTATCAGCAGTAATAGTCACCGTTTAGAAATTCGCTTTCCTCCCCTGAGTCCTTTTTTGAAAGATATGGACTAAGTCCGACAATTATTTTTATATATTTATTGTTTATACGTTATGTTTTATATATACAAATATTTAAGTAAAAGCTCTGTTTATAATAAACAGTATTAACAACATTTATCGTCCTGAATGTCCGAGAAATTTTTATAGAAAATATTCGTCCTCCGACAGGAATCGAACCTGTATCCTACACGGAACCGTCATATAGTAATTCAACCTTGCAAAGCCAGACGCTTCCTCTGTAGCTAAATGGTATAGCACGTCTGGCTATATAACGGCTCTGTGTAGGGTACAGGTTCGATTCTTGTCGTGTTTCAATGCGTAGCAATGCATCTCATCAGACGATTGTAAATTACAATCGCATGATGAGATATATTGCTACTTATTGAAACATGACTGCAACTGTGTAGTGATTTTTACATGTTTTCAGTGTAATATAGTAAAATAAATAATATGGCTAAACTCTGTATTGAGCCCTCTTTTAAATTAAATGTTACGAACGTTGGAATTGTACTCTATTTGTTGTCATCGTCCCTGGATGTATATATATATATATATATATATATTGAATAAAAACAGACCACTTTAAGGTTCCATGTAATAAGTTATTTCACCACAACCCTTTTAAATGGCTCTGGATCATCAGACTTTACTTCCAAAAGTTGAAATGAAAAAAAAAAAAAAAACATTTTCATTTCAACCTTTGGAAGTAAAGTCTGATGATCCAGAGCCCTTTAAAAGGGCTGTGGTGAAATAATTTATTACATGGAACCTTAAAGTGATCTGTTTTTATTCAAATTTATTTGCTCTGAATTTACATTGAGCTCTCCGGATATCATCCTATTTGGGTCTACCTATACGGATTACCTAGTTTTGCATAAACTATATATATATATATATATATATATATATATATATATATATATATATATATATATATGAACAGAAAGTTGACACCACAGTACTTATATAGAGAGATTTGAGAACGTAGGAGAGAATTCTTCTTTCAGGATCTTTTTCAACCAAAACTTCGTCAAAAGAATACATTGGTAAATATGAAATTGTGAGAATAACAATTGACTCGACGAGAGCAGAAAAATATAAGGAGAAAAAGAAACCATGACTAACATAAAAATCCATTAATAAAAACGAGCGGGAAGAAAACATATGCATATACTGGAAAAGAGTCAATGTAATTATAAAGCAGTTGAGCAACATGTTCCATAAGTTTTCTATGGGGTTGAGGTCAGGAGATTGGGGCGGCCATGTCATAACACTCACCTGCTTCTCATCAAAGTATTCCTTCATCAATTTTGATTTGTGACAGGGAGCATTATCCTGCATAAAAATGAGCTTGGTGGGGTCGATTTGCATCATTTTAGCAGAAGGGAGCAGACAAGACACTAAAATTCTCTTGTACTGCTCGCTCCTGGGGGTCTTTTCAATAGGTTTTAAGAAACCAGTTCCATGAAAAGAAAAGCATCCCCGGAACATTATACTGAACGGATGCTTGACATTACTTACTGCTAAATTCAAAGAGCTTTCAAAGCTTCTTCTTCGGATTTTTGATCGCTTATCCTTTGAATTTAGCTCAACATTCGTTTCATCGGAGAAGAGAACATTTAGTAAAAAATATCAGGTGTGTCACTTTTATCGAACAGTACTATATATATATATATATATATATATATATATATATATATATATATGCACATTTCATTGAATACGACAGACAAGGTGCTTTTATTTAGTTTTTTGTACAATTTCTCATGCAATCTAATATTCTTTTTTTCTTTTCGGATGATAAATTATATAAAAACTGTCCGAATGTTCTTTTTATCCGAGCGCTTTCGGCTATACATTTAGCCATTTTCAAGGATTAAATATTTTAAGTGTTAAATAAGAAATAGTTTGTTGTATGTATGCTTTATAAAATGTTTTCATTTTTCAAAACACGGTCAAGATATTATGTCCATGTTCAAAGTTATATTATTATAAGTGTTGTTTTTTGTTTTTGTTTTTTACTAATAAGGCTTCCATTATTTTTAGCCTTTTTTGCATGTAGATGATGCTATTATATTAGTGTTGTCAACAAGTATGTTACGAATAGTGTCTGGTAGGTCTCATTGAATATTTAAATGAGATCAAATTGAGCTATGTTTAGAAAGGTGTAGAGTGAGTCTGCGTGTCAAACATGTTGTAGTGCGGCCTATATAATTATTTATGAGTTATGATTGATCAGGAATAGATTTACTGATCAGGAATAGATTTAATGGGCATTTAAATTCGTAAATAATATTTTGCCTATATAATATGTATGTGTGTGTGTGTATGTGTGTGTGTGTGTGTGTGTGTGTGTGTGTGTGTGTGTGTGTGTGTGTGTGTGAATTACCATCAATGAAACAGAAAAAAATTCATTTATATACTCTCTAATAAAAAATTATATTGAACTCTTTTTTGTTGATCAGTTTTAATATTTTATATTAATAGAATCTACATGGATTACTTACCCACGAATATATATATATATATATATATATATATATATATATATATATATATATATATATATATATATACTGACTCTCAATTCGATCACTTCTTAGGAACCGAAAGCCTGACACCAGCACAGAGATTTGATTAGAGTGGTGAAGGTTTTGTGCACAACCATCCACAGGTTTTGAATGGCCGAATGCAGAGACCTGGTGCACTACGTGCCACAAGGTCTCAAAACCCCTCCACAGGTTTTGAATTCAGAGTTGTCCTTCTCCTAGACCAGTTGCCATCCAAGGCTAAAGAATCCAGTCTGTCCTGCTATTTACCCATAGCTGGAGGGAGAAGGATTCATACCTTTCCCAATTAGCATGTAAGTGAATGTAATGGAATTCAAAATCGGCTCTCCGATTCCTCAACCCGAGCCGTTATCCATTACTCCACACCATATATATATATATATATATATATATATATATATATATATAATGGATTCATATTAGTGCACATCACCGCAAACAATCTTTGCGAAGATGTATTCTCGCCATTTAAATCATTAACTTTTATATCTGTTTTTGTATGAATGACTCATGTACTGTAAACTGAACTGCACCACATACTTGATATATATATATATATATATATATATATATATATATCCTTGTGCAAATTAATTGAAACAAACCGAATAATTCCGTTATTATTTAGTTTTTATTTTTCGTATTTTTCCAATGAAACATGCTCAAGTGCACATGTTAATATTTCGTATGTCCATTCCAAAAAGTTGTTCATTGCAGATTACCACAAATTCTGGATTAGATTTAAATTAGGGGAGTTTCCGGGCCTGTCTATTGTACTTCGATTTGCTCACTGGTAAGGCTTGCCAGTGTGTCCGTGCAGCGTTACAATTTTCGTACGCCTCTTTGGAGTAACTCCCATCGCAGACAATGACTGTAGGACAACTAATCGGCAGTCGAAACAATAGTGTCTGGGCGTGATAAAAATCTGATGCAATCACGGATGACGCAATATTTGTCAAGGCGAAAAAAATTTATCATACACCCCGAAAATAGATTCATATTAGTGCACATCACCGCAAATGGCCTAATCTGATGAAACAATAGAAATCGGTTACACCCTGTCACCTCAAGGAGTCTAAAACTGACCGTATAGTGAAAGAAAGGAAACTAAAGCGGTCGTTTTAATTAATTTTCGCCAGGGTATTTGCGGCGTCAAGGATACAGAGTTTTTGGGGTTTTTTTCTGAAATAAGATTCGAAATTTTGCCTAATATGAAGGAATTCAGTTTACCGTCTTGGATAAAAAGCCTTTCTCTTGGGTTAGCATAGGTCTGCAAAAATCCTAACTTTCGAGACTTATTTCAGGGGAAAAAACTCAGAGTTTCATAGGTTTGCCAATCATCAGGTACAAAATGTTACAGTATTTTTTTTTAAATTGTGTTTCATGGTGGCAACGCTATATTGTGTGAGGATTCAAAGTTCATGGTTATTATAAATATAATATAGTACTGAGGTATAAACACACAATATAGAATATTGGTAGGAGAATATAAAAAATAAACTAACTTAGTAAGTTTAATAGGGATATTAGCATAGCCCTACAAAATTCCTAACTTTCACACGGTAAATTTTGGAGATTTTATCTCAGGAAAAATACTGCGTTTTTGACGTCGGCAAATAAGGTATGTAATTATTACAATAATACTGAATAGTTTATACATTTGTTTAATAAAACTTACCCACTGTATGGCAGGTTATATGTACATGTATTTAACTGTTAAGTAATTTCCAACATGTTTTCGTGCATTTGCTGTGTGTAATAATACGTACCTTTTTCTTTGCCTTTTACAGCAGGAGTCTCCACCGGAAAAAGAGTACTCGGCCAATGCTAGTCTGAAAAACAGCACGTGTTCGGAAAACAACACAGATCCGGACATCAATATGGAATATTCGGGTCTCGATTACAGTGAAGGAGAACAATGTTTACAGTATGCCGACGGGGAGCAGTAGCATAAACCGGTTGGGCGTGGCCTGTCAAGGCGGCATTGTTGAGGGATATTTGGTCATACATGGTAAGATAATAACAGAGCTATGATTTATATTAGTCACCTCGACTGAATTTTCCATACATGCTTAAAATGACTTTTTTTTTTAAAAAAAACATTCTTGAAGCTTTCATTTGTGCTTTAATCAAAAGCTAAATGATGAAATTTACTATTTCCAGGAAGCAAAATGCCCTAGTGTATTTCAAATAGAAATTATATCGAGTGAAATCTCAATTTTTTGGTCGCTTTCACAAAACTGCCATTTTTTTGACACATTTCGACACATTTGAAAACAAAAGTTAATTCTCGGTTTTAAAAATCTTCCAAAAATAAAATATATTTTCTGAAACTTTTTGTGATGTCAACGAATACTCGTTTGACACTTTTGTGATGCCAACGTATACTCGTTGTCACTTTTGTGATGTCAACGAATACTCGTTGTCACTTTCGTAATGCTCGTTGTAGTAGAGACTTTGTAATCGCAGATACAACTATAGTACGCCATTGAACAATACTGGTGTCAGACGCCTTCGAATAACACTCGCACTAATAGTACTTGCCTGATAATACTTGCACGAACAGTAATCCGTATAGTGATCCCAATAGAGGAATAGTATAGTGAATAGAGTAGAGAATAGCGGTTCGTATAGTAATAGAGGATAGTCTAGAAATAGCGATCCGAATAGTAATAGAGAATAGACTAGAAATAGCAATCCGTATAGTAATAGAGGATATAGAAGTAGCGATCCGAATATTAATAGAGGATAAACCTAAAATGGTGAACGTTAGTCGTCAGGCTACTTCCTACATATATGCATTTCCTCTATGGTCACGTGGTCTACTTTAATTCAATAATGGGATCGCCTGTGTTTGCTCACTGACGATCTATGTTCAAACTCAAGTGTCGGCAGCGACAATTAATTACTATATAACAAACTTTATTTGAGAAATATTAGCTGATTTAAAGTATAATTCATCTGATTTAAAGTGTAATTAATCTGATTTAGGAAAATATTAATTACTTTAAGTTTAAAATAACAGAGAAATTGATTTTTAAAACAAACGATAGCGTTAATGACGCGCTTATCACCGTCGCTTGTTACGCGTATATCACCTTTCAAGCGATGGTAACATCTGTCAACACATTTACTATTGTTCTACGTAGATTTTATCTGTTAAAACATAATTTAAGAAAATGACGGGTGAGCGCCTTTTTTATATAATTTTTAAGTACTAATTTTGGAAAATATTCTCCGTAAGCTAATTTTAGGAATGTTGAATTTAAATTTAATATAGTCATCGCTCTTATTGTCTGATTATATCGTATATTGTCGACCATACTTTCAAACAGAGGCACGTTACGTAATATTTTATATACATAAAAAATTAAAAATATTGTAAAAATGTTGGGTTTAAACGACTTTTATTGAGCTTTCCAGTTTTTGGTTTGTAAATGTATTTTCCCTTAATTATAGTAGCACCTAACCGGATTGAAGCAATTCAGAATTTTAAACGTTTTATAATATTATAAATTATTATAATTAAAATTTTTAAAAAAATGAAAACAATTCTTGTAAAAATTCATTTTTAAGCGAAAAAGATTTTCTTAAGATAATAGTGTCCCTAATAAATCTTATTTATAAAAGCAATTAAAAGCCTTTCTAATTAAATGATGTCATAGTTTTATTACATTTTTTTTTATTTTTAGATTCGGAGCAGATTTTCGGGAAATGTGTAGTAGTTTGAAAATTAACTGATTATCTCTAAGGAGTCCTGCTTTTAACTAATAAAACAAATTTTGAGATTGAAATTTAATTTCTCGAAATTTCATGAAATTAAGTGGTGGGTAACATATATATTTTATGAAAAACTAGGTAATCCGTATGAGTAAACCTAAGGAGGATAAAATCCCGAGAGCTCAATGTAAATCCAGAGCAAATAATTTAAATAAAAACAGACCACTTTAAGGTTCCATGTAATAAATTATTTCACCACAGCCCTTTTTAAAAGGACTGCGGATCATCAGACTTTACTTCAAACAAAAATGAAAAGAAAATTTACACATTTTTGACGGGCCGTATTAAAACATATGTAAATTAACGAAGTGAGGAAGTGAGGGGGAAGAGAGAAGACATGAGTGAGTTAGCAGATATTGACACATTTAAACGGTTAACTTAACAGAAGTTATATATTGATATCGAAGGGGTAGAGAAAAAAACAACTCATAGAGAGAAAAAGAGAGAAGGAAGTTACAGAGAGAAGAGAAGAGAAGGTGTCACTAATTTTCTTTGTAAAAAAAAAAGGCTAGAAACAGACGCTGTTATTTTGTTTTACTTTGAAAGTGTTATTTTGGGGGTTCGTTAATTTACATATGTTTAATACGGCCCGTCAAAAATGTGTAAATTTTCTTTTCATTTTTTGTTTGGAAGTAAAGTCTGATGATCCGCAGTCCTTTTTAAAGGGCTGTGGTGAAATAATTTATTACATGGAACCTTAAAGTGGTCTGTTTTTATTTAATATATATATATATATATATATATATATATATATATATATATATATATAATTATTTTTTATAAAAAATTATAACATAAGTATGTTATAAAATCACTACAAAATAGCCATTTTGTTTCAACACACTCTGTGTCTTATCAAGTGATGATGTTGAAAAGAAAATAAATGGTTTTAAAAGTTTCAGATTAATTAACGATCCTACACTAGGGGGAAACATATATATATATATGTATGTATTATCAAGATTTTCTAAGAAAAATTCCAAAAATAATTTCATTCATTTCTGAATAAGCCTTGAAAGTTTCATTAAAATCCAACAATTATGAGTTTTGCAAGAATTTTCAAATCAATGTCTTTTCACCGAAAAAAAACGAGAAAAACACTAATCGTTATTATTATGTCGACCGCTGACGTAAAAAAAAGATTTTTTAATCAATATTTCGAAGGTGTTAGAAATTATTAAAAAATTTAATAAAATAATAAAACAGTACTTTGGTCTTCCCTCTTAATAACAGCATAAACATTTTAGCGATAAAACTTTGTTTTCCTTAATTTTGAAACCGTTTTTCATCATCCTATGCTGTTTTTTCCGTGATCAAGTGGAGGTACCTAATTTATATTGATAACGATTATATTTTTTTTTCTGATCGGTAGCACAACTCTGAGTTTCATGTACAATGCAATCGACAATAATATATATATATATATATATATATATATATATATATATATATAGATAGATAGATAGATAGATAGATAGATAGATAGATAGAAGACGCCCTAATGTACAAGATTAAAAATAAATCTAGCCGCATTCCTCTAGTAACCACTTTCAACCTCACTCTGCCTCCACTATCCCAAATAATCAAAAGTCGCTGGGAAATACTACATCTCAAACCAGACCTAAAAAAATTGTTTGAGGAACCCGGTTTTCTAGCATATCGTAGACCTGAGAACCTAAAAGTAATCATAGGTAGTAACCACATTACAGAGGATAAGGTAATCCGTAATAAACCAAAACAAAAACAACAGGATTTTCCCAACTATGTAACAACAAAAGAAGTTTATGCTGCAGCCACATTAGACACACGAATTCATTCACTAGCTCAGTCACTAAATCTACTTTCAAAATCTACCACGATTCTAACTGTAGAAGTCATAACATAATTTACCTCCTAGAATGCACACTATGCCAGAAACAATATGTAGGAAAATCTGAATGGCCCTTTCACTACAGAATTAATAATTATCGCAATCGAATTAAGTCGACTCCCCATGAAAGATTATTATTATTAGAACAACATTTCCGCCTAGAAAAACACGATTTTAAAACCCATGTTAAATTCACTATAATTGAGAGAATAGAAAAGTTCAGAGCAGATAAAATTACACCGATTTTAGAAGGACATGAAATTAAGTGGATTCGACGCCTGAGAACGCTTCATCCAGACAGGCTTAAATCACAAATTTAACAACAGAGATAGAATTAATATATAACCCCACAAATCGGGACCTACCCGCAGTTCCCACCCACACAAGACAGAAATACTTACGGAGGTATTGAGACCTCACACTTATATCCACACCCATACTAATATACGCACTTACACACATCATACTCACTCACCCCCTAAGAACCAAATAACACACACACTTAACAGAAACACATCCCCTTTCCAGGAACCAATAAAACTGTCAAACTGACCAGGGGAATTCAGAGCAGCATGAATCCATCCAGCTCTTATCTTAAATAACAACTTAAAAGAGACTGTTTGACCAACACAAGGATTGACCAAAATTCATGTTAAAAAATTAAAAAAACAAATGAAAACTACAGATAAAGTCCAATTTTTTATCCATTAAGTCATTCATTTTTGTAGTTCACTGCTACTAACAAGGAGAATGTTTTTGATGATGGCCATGATGGCCGAAAGTTATCGTGGAATCTAACAGAAATAATAAAAATGAAAACATATTAATATACAACTCAGTGTGTCTGAAGATTTTAATTTTTTAATATTTTTTATTGTTCAAAACATTCAAAATATATATATATATATATATATATATATATATATATATATATATATATATATATATAGTCAGCATATCTTCATTCAATCATGTTTGGTTGAATAATCTGAATATAAGGTCAATTTATTTTTTTTAATCCTCTGAAATTCAGGGATCAATTTCTTAATGTCGTTATTAAACTGATTAAGAAAGTAAGGAAAATAACTACGGCTTCGTCAATAATGATTAACGTTATTAAAAATTCATCCATGAATTTGAGAGGATTAAAATAAAAATAAATAAAAATAATATGTGCAAATTATATATATATATATATATTAAAGACATATTTTTATGTTTAACACGTTGTTATTTTATAGATATGTTTAAGAAATGCTCTGTTTATGATAAATGTTATTTAATACTGTTTATCATAAATGTCCGGATTTCAGGCCGGTATTTGTTTAAATACTTGTATAAACAAAATTCTTGTAAACGTTCTACAAATAAAAATATGTCTTTAATAAATAAATTGTCGGACCTTGTCCATTTCTTATATATATATATATATATATATATATATATATATATATATATATATATATATATATATATATATATATATATATATCCTTGCTCTGCTTCTCGTATTGAGCACGCTACATTTTATATTTATTACTCGCTTGGGGTTTTTCCTTTGGACTAAAAACTTAAGGCACTGGACGATTTATTTCGACCTGTTCGGATGTTTCTAGTTCTTTCTTTTATATATATATATATATATATATATATATATATATATATATATATTTGTTTGTTTAGTGTTATCGTTGCCCTGTTCTTTTCCTTCTCTTATTGTTTATTGGAAAATTTGTCAATCCTGTTTGTTGAGCATTTCTGTCAATTACATTAAACCATGGCCAATTCATCTACACACTAGACTATTGACGGTTCAACTAATTCAAACGCTGTTGCTGTTGGACTGTGGAAGACCAGCATTGTTTTCGATTGGCCAAATGAATTACATTTCAAACTCTTTCGGGAAACTGTTTGTTTGAGGAGTTATGAATCTTTGTAACTCTTTGTTGCATTGCCGTATATCGTAGAGGTCGATACAAAACCAAATTTAGATAATGTTTATGCTTTTGCCTCGGCAAAACTATTTATTTTCCCCCACTCTTCAAATATTTCAATTGGATTACCAATACGTATTAAAAGTCTCGTACGTTTCACGCATTCAAGATTATTTCGTGTAAAATAAAATTCTGCATAATTATTCTTTGGTGAGAGAAACAAATTCCGATGATGTCGAAATTACATTATATGAGTAATTCTTCAAATATGCTAGCCTGTGACGTTTTCAAGGTGAAATATATAATAGCTGATTTCATAGAAGTCTTTTACGCTCATTCCAAAACCAAACTCATTTTTTTCTAATCAGATCAAATTTTTATAAGATGCAAGCTCTTGAAATGTATAGAACAGTATTAAAACTCTATTTATTTTTGTTATGATGTTAATTTGGGGTTAATAAAGACAAACGCCAAATAACATGTAACAATAAAATGGGGTTTATTCGGTTGGTAAGTTGGTACAGAAACCGCCTGAGTAGTCTATAACTAACTCAGCCCAGAACTTTTCGGTATTTATCATTTCACCCACGGAAACGAATATGGCACAAGGCCAGTTTTATTAGGGTTTCTCCGAGCCCGTAGGCTCGGCCAAAAAAATAGCCTTTTTAAGCCGATTAGACGGGTTCAGGCCCTGTCTACCTCCCTGACGAAACCTCGCCCTTCGGCAAAGCCTCGTCTGTTCCTCTCTGCTAACGCAGAGTTCGACAGACGTCGGAAATCAGCCCAAGAACTTCTCCGACACTGTCTTTTGACATGTCACTATTTAACGTCCTTGTTTGTAGACGAGTTCATCTTCAAGAGGGGTGGTAGGTTCCTACACAACAATTTTCTTGTTGAATTAGACAAATAATGCTAAATTTAGGACTGATATATTCGTAGAAAGCTCACGTTGTGCCATAGTAAACTGAAAAATACCCAAAGGAAGCTATTTATGGATGAAAGGTCTTTTCAGGGACTTCTTTCTGTGCTCGGCAACCACCGAATTCCGTTTCAAGCCTCAGCAATCGTCAGCGAGAAAGTTTACATCCCACTGACCTTGGTAGCGTTCTTCCATAATGCGAATGTCTTGGTAAAAGCGTCCATCTTGCTCGTCACTCAAATCTACGCAGTTCTTTGAAAAATAGTTCACGCGTGACCCCAGAAAGTGCAGTTTGACTGACATTAGTGCCCCGAGTCGGCGGAAATTCTTCAGTAACTCTCCAGTTTCCTTCTCGTATTCCGCACTCTGGTGGTTTTCCAGGAAGTTTGTAATTACTGACTTCAGTGACTGCCAGGCGGACAGTCCAGCTTCGCTCAGTGCTTCGTTAAACATTTGGGTCCTTCTTTGAGGGCCGTTTCTCTATGCTTATCCGTGGGAAATTCTCCTGGGAGAAAGCAAACCCACTGCCTTCCCTGTCCATTGCCTTCACAAAGTTTTTCATTACTCCTAACTTGATATGTCAGGGTGGAAGCAGTATTTTGTTCGGCTCAACGAGGGTATCAGACTGAACGTTCTGCGAGCAAGGTTTTAATCCTTGTCTTAAGGGCCACTCTTGTCTGACATAATGTTGGTCGTCAGCCCGGCTGTTCCAGGGGCGCAGAAAACAAGGATACTTTGTACACCCACCTTGGAGTCCGGGGACCAATTTAACCACCTTAAGATCTCCACAGATCATCCATTTGTTCTGATAGTTAACAGCAGAAAACAAATGGTCCATGCTGTTGTGAGTTTCTTTCATTTGTTCAGTAAGGATAGATTCATTTGCTCAGTAAGGATAGATGAAAAACTAGTTCCATTCTGTAGTACTTCTTTGAGACTTCTGCTGGATGAGCCAATAAAATGCCTCCATCCCGTAGTATCATACTCTAAACATATTGGTTAAATCAATCCATCAATGTTGTTGCAATAAACCAATGACTTATCCTGGAACGCGAAAAACTGTCTTAATTCTCTCTCACGGTCTCAATACCAGTAGAACGTTGTTCCTGGTGCCAACCAATGTTTCTCTTTGAGACGTGAACCCAGCAACTAAGCAGACTCCTTTAAAAGGCTCGTGTCAGGTCGTTGAGTTTTTGCTGGTTGTCCTCTTCTGGCTTGTATGCCTCATCTCCAGCTACAACAGTCATGTCATTATGTTCGGAATCAGAGCTATATTCCATGTTCCCATATGGCTCAAGAACAGGAAGATCTGGGCCATGAGGGATTGGTCTTATGGTCGAAGGAACATTGGGGTAATTGACATGGTACTTGTTCTTGCAATTTATTCCTTTTAGATTTATCATGCAGAAATAGCAGTCCGTAATGTGATCGTTTCCTTCCATCCAGATCATTGGAATGGCAAATGGCATATTCTTCGTTTTACCATTCTTCCAATCCTTCAAATTCTGCGCACATGTTTGACAGCTAACGTAGGGAGTGAACGGCTTATCAAGATCCCCTAGTAATCGCCATATGCCTTCTTCACAAAGTCAGTGATTTTTTCTTGAACGTTTTGGAAGAACTACATAACCGCAGATATAACAGAACCTGTCAGGATTATTTTTACACTTATGATCCATTCTTACAGGAATACAAATGTCAAGCTGAAAAGAGAAATAAATAAATCAACACTCAGCTCGTCGTTGACATTTGACACAGTACATTAAAATCATTTTAAGCTGAGGGATAAACCACGCTCCATCTAGCCATGTACGAGGTACCTGTTTTACTTGGTCGTTAGAAAACTGCTGTCCTTGAAACTCAGAAACCCTTGAGCAGTAATCATTACCGGTTCCTTCATGGGCTCTATCAGTGATCTGGGAGCCAACTTCACCCTGATCTTTTGAGTAGCAAAATGATTCGACTGCAAAGATTTAGATGGACTCGACTCTTTACTACTAATTCACCCCAAATAATGATAACTTATCGCAAAAGCTAATTCACTCCAAGCAATTACACATTTAAAATCAATATTTGTTTTTTCATTAAATTTTTGGTACTCTTTTGAGATTGTAAATTTTAAATCAAAGTTTGTTTTATTATTAAATTTTTGGCAATTTTTGAAATTGTAAATAAGAGTTACTCTCCTTGAACCATGAAAGCAACGATAATGGCTAGTACAATATATTAATATATATATATTTAACCTCGAATAATCTGGTAACCCTGAATCTGAGCTCAACGAAAATCCTTCCTTGCACATAACTTTTCTAGGGCTTTTAAATGAGATACGAGTTTTTGAAATCGGACCAGTGGGAGCGGAGGAGTTGCTTGGAGAGAGAGAGAGAGAGAGAGAGAGAAGATACACATACACACACACGCACAAATACACACACATACACTGTACTTTTTATATAAGATTTACAGTATGATGAAAAGCCCTCGTGTTAAGCAATAAAATCCCGCAACACCAAATATGTTATTGTAAATGGTTCTATGGTTCTATGATATTTTCTGTTAATTCACCCTCAAATAATGTAAAGTTGCGTATCGTAAATATTAATTCGCCCAAGAGATTATAAAATTTAAATCAAAGATTTTTTTTAATTAAATTTTTGGCACTCTTTTGAAACTGTAAATTTTTAAAGCAACAATTCCAACCCTTAGAATGCAAAATTAGCAAAAAGTGAGTTATTCACATTTCGTAAAAGAGAATGATATTTGTGTTATTTACAAGGAATTTTTACAATTAATAAAAAAAAAGAAAATATCTGTCTTGGGCTTGTTTGTACGGGTGAGCGCGATTGTAGACCCCACACTTAGAAATAGCACACTCGAATCACCCACATTTGGGGTGACTGCAGAGATCAACCCGACCGTAGTACAATGGAAGATCCTCACTCTGGTACGGATTTTAGAAGAAAATTTTTTTTTTTTTTATTTTGGGGTGAATTAATATTTTGGTGTGAATTAGATATCAAATGACAACACACATTAAACATCCTTATATAACCGACATTATTTTTTGTCCGACCCTTGTATAGTATATAAGAGAAATAATAAATATTTAAACATTTTCTTTACTGATCCAATGTTCTTTTTTTGTGTCTCTTTACAGACGGTTCAGATGACCATTACATCACTAGATTAAATGGATAACCGGGCTACGACGAAAGCAGACAACACATATTAGGCTCCCTCTGCTCAAAAAGAGAGAATATTTGAATCGGAAAAATTAAAAAATATATATATATATATATAATCATAACATTAAAGAAAACAGGTAAACTAGTTTCTTGTAAATGGATTTAAAAAAAAAAATGTATAAATGAAACGGACGCTTATCAATTGTTTTAAAAACTCACGAGGCCTTTATTTGGTAAAAACAGTGAGCGCTAAAAAAATGATTAATAAATAAATAAAAAAAAAAAGAAAGAAAGGATCAAGAAGGAGAACAATAAAACATAATAAAAAGATTTTTTTTATGCTGACCGGCAAATTGAAAGAGAGGAAAAGGAGGAAGAAGAAAAGGAAAAAGATGATCATAACGAAGAGAAAGAAAAAAAAAAGGAAGAGGTGATCAAAGAAAGAAAGAAAGAAAGAAAGAAAGAAAGAAAGAAAGAAAGAAAGAAAGGGTAATATCACTGCCTGGATCTTAATTTAAAATTCAAGAATAAATAAATGAACGATTAAAAATTTCATTTTTAAATCAAATGGTTAAGAAAATAGCTCTCCATGGTAATGATCTTGGACTAACGATTATATATATATATATATATATATATATATATATATATATATATATATATATATATATATATATATATATATATATGGGAAGAAGAAGAAATCGAGCAGATTATTTATATAAATCTAAAGATGAATATCAACAGTTTTCCGAAGTGTGTAAAGACGAACTAACATCAGTATATAGTATCTATCAACATATATATACATATATATATATATATATATATGTGTGTGTGTGTGCGTGTGTGCGCGCGTGTCTGTGTGTGTGAGTGCGTGTGGGAGCATTTTTACTGATAAGTACATAGACAGGTAGTTGTAGTATGAAAACAAGTAAGCGCGCGTGTGTTTCTGCACATACAATGTATGTGAAGTTAGTGAGTGACAAAATGATAATTTTAATTGTTTCGTGCGTAAGTGCGTGTCTCCGTGAGTGGGGTGTGTTACGTTTTACACATTCACTAATTAATACGCACACACACACACACACACACACACACACACACATATATATATATATATATATATATATATATATATATATATAAAGAGAGAGAGATAAATAGATAAGATAGATAGATAGATAGATAGATAGATAGATAGATGATAGATAGATATGATGGGAGATAGATAGATAGATAGATAGATAGATAGATAGATAGATAGATAGATAGATAGATAGATAAGTGTGAGTGCTTGGTCACATGATGCTTATGCATGCAATGATGGAAAAAGCGTTAAATTAAGATAAAAATCAATTAAAGACATGCATATATACACACACATGCATTTATGCACACATATGTATACAGCAAATATACATATATGTATATATGTGTGTGTGCGCATATATATATATATATAAAAGTTCATGTATATATACATACATGGATATATGTTGATATATTTAAAATTCACACACATATATATTTATTTAATTTTCTATACGTGTCAATGTGTAATATATATTATGTGTGTCTCTATGTATATCAATGTACCTCGATTAATATATATATATATATATATATATATATATATATATATATATATATATATATATATATATATGAATATATACATGCATGTATATATGCATAGAAAATGTATATATATATGTGTGTGTGTGTGTGTGCAAATACAAGGTTTATGGCGATAAATAAGTAATTTTCTATAAATGTTATTAAAATATTTATGTGTTTATATATATAAATATATATAAGAGATTATTTCTGATAAATACAAAATAACAAACAAAAAACACACACACACACACACACACACACACACATATATATATATATATATATATATATATATATATGTAAGGGAATCTATTTTCCTTTATATGTGCGTGTGTGTGTTTGTGTGTGTAAGGAATATATATATATGTGTGAGGGGTGTGTGTGTATGTGTGTGTTTTTGTGTATGAGTGCGTGAGTATGCGTGTATTCGCTTATGAATATATATATTTATATATATATATATATATATATATATATATATATATATATATATAGGAAAGGACAAAATGGAACATCACGTTATAGATGCATTTCGTGTCTGAGAAGTGATTTGTTGAGATTAGCGCTTCACCAAAGGAATTTTCCAATCTGTCATTTGCTTATCAGCTATTAGTATGATATAAATATTTGTATATTATATATATATATATATATATATATATATAAGTGTATGTCTATAAATATATAAGTAATTTTCTACAAGTGTTAATATCTAATGTACATAAGAGTGTTAATATTTGTTATTATATATATAGTATATATACGTTAATATATGTGTTAATATAATATATATATATATATAGTTTATATGCGTGTTAATATATGTTAATATATAATGTATATATGCGTATGTGTTTGCATGGTTGATGTGAATGTTTGTCAGATTTGCCTATGTTGATACTGCGCATTTCACGCATGCGTACGTGTGCGTATGAAATTATCGTGTTTGGAAATGCTTCCGCTACCCGAGGTAGATCAGTCGAAAAAAAAGAAAAAAAAAAATGATTTTCAGATCGTATGTGTAAAATCAAGGATAATTTATAACCATGGAACAATTTGAAAAATCAAGAAAAAAAATTTTAAAAAATAAAAAATAATTTTAAAAAAAGCGCAAAACGTCATTCATTTTTTTCTTGTTTCAAAGCGAATGAATTTCCTATCTGCGTATACATATGTAGATAATTTGCCTCTCCCTTTCTTGAAGTTTACCAAATAAAAAGAAAATCTTGACAAACCAGATCCCAAAAATTATTTGAATACACCTGTGTCTCTTTTATTCCACATACCTTGCTACAAAAGTATCAAATAAACGACTCACCTTCTTCAGCCATTAAATTCAAAGCCAGAACTTACTCACAAAAATGCCAAAAGATATTTCATACAATATATGTATATATATATATATATATGCATACATATATATATATATATATATATATATATATATATATATATATATATATATATATATATATATATATATATATATATATATATATATATATATATATATGTGTGTGTGTGTATGTATATATATGGTTAAAAATGGTTTTCTTTTTGCACCAAAAGAACTAAAGGTGAACGGGATACAGAGAGAACAAAATATACGGAGAGTGATGCGGAATTATAACGGGAGAAAATGTTTTTAAAAATAACTTGAAAAGAAAGAAACAAAAAAAAAATTTTAAAAAAAGAATGTTTGTTAATTAATTAAACTCTGTAATTCTAGTCTCGGAAATATTTAGGAAGTTATTCGATGAACGATTACGAGAATAATGATTTGATAAATAAATAAAACCAAAAAAAGAAAAAAAAAAGAAAGCTGAAACGATAGAGAGAGAGAGAGAGAGAGAAAAAATTTAAGATGGAAGGAAAAAAAAGTGAATATATTTTATTTTTTGTTAACGCTCATTGTCGAAAATTGTTTTTTTTTTTTTTTTTTTTTTTTTACCAATTTTTTTGTCAGTCACTCACAGGAATTATCAAAATACAAAAGAAAAAAAATGCGTTTCAAAAAAAAAAAAAAAAAAAAAAAAATCAGAAAGAAAAATGGAGAAAAGAAAGAAAGATTTCCTCTTTCCGATTTCTTCCTGGTCAGCAAATTTAGACACGCACCCACCCTTCCCAATTTCCTTTTCTCTCTTGTCAATGCGTCCAGACAGTGGCCAAAAAGAAAGAAAAAAAAAAAAAAAAAAAATGAAAAATCAAAATGAAATAATATAAAATAAATTTAAAAAAAAATAATTTTTAAAAATTATAGAAAAAAACATGATATTTGCTTCCTTCTACGAAAAGAAAAAAAAAAATGACATGGAAAAAAAAAAAAAGAAAAGAAAAGAAAATAGACGACAAAGGTTAAAAGAATGAATATATATATATATATATATATATATATATATATATATATATATATATATATATATGTACATATATATAATCACCGAGAGATATTTGCAAGATATCTAAACAAAAAAAAAAATTGAACGAAAGAAAGAAATACAAAGAGAGAGAACATACTATGAAGTGCAATTTTCTTTTAATTTGAAGATCTGTTTATATGTGATGTGAAAAGAAAAATACACACACACACACACACACATACATATGTATATACATATACACATATGAATAATGTATGTAAAAGAAGTATTGTACTCACATATAAAATATGCATATGCATACATATTTATATATTTATTCATATATATATATATATATATATATATATATATATATATATATGTATGTATATATATATCTATATGTATATATTTGGATTATGGTTAAATGTATGTATTGCGATTTGGAAAGGATGTAGCCATTGGCATCCACTTGGACGGTGACAAGAACAAAATAAAACTGACAAACACTGGAGAAGGAAAAGATATTGTTTTAAAAATGAAATTTAAAAACTTTTTTGTATGTTTCACCCTAGGGCTCCTTAAGATACTGAAAAGCATATCTATGTGTTTCAATATAAAATTGAATTTGTACCAACAGGTTCCAGCATATGAATGATCAAAAAAAAATTGCACCTTACATACCCGAACACATCAAAAACACTTAAACATATAAATATATATACACTACGGTTCAAAAGTTTGAGAATACGTCTGCTAAGTTTTTAAATTGGCCCGCAAAATAGGTGTTTTGTACCATAAATAAGAGAAAAATATGATACATAATTTTTTTTAAAAAAAATTGGGACATGATTTTTTGATTAGAAATTTTATTATGACAAAAAGAAAAAAAAAGCAGTTTATGATTAAATTTTGCTCTCGTCAAAATATCCTCCTTTAGAATTAATTACTGCAGCACATTTTTTTCGTATTCGTTGCAAAAGTTTTTCAAAGTATTAGTTTGGTATTTGATTTCATTCTTCTTACAATA